TGTGTGTGAGAGGCACGTTACTGATGTCGGGGACCGGAGTAGAATCAGAGCAGAGAAACTAGTCAGCATCTGAAGTGTATACCGTTTGAGCTCTGTGTGCATAATAAACGGCCCTACACCTCAAGTAACAAGCCGGACTCTCCACGTCTGTTTACATCTTGATGCACCCCACTTAAAGTGACGGCTACAACTTCGGCACTGAAGCAGACCAATCAGTCTCCGCTGTGGTCGGAGTGCCGAAGCAGGAAAGGTTAACACTTGACATCATATCCGGTGTATAATATTAAATATAATAGAATATAATATAAATATAATAGTAAATTCAAGTTAAAACACAGACCTCGCTTACCCCCGTGCGAATGCGCCACACGAAACACAGACGTGGTGGGGTCATTTCTAAATCACATGAGGTCCCCAGGTAATACTAGTCCCGTGTGAATAGGGCTTGTGTGTATTTATTAATGGGATAATAGTGATAGTGTGGGTGTATGGGGGACCTTGACACTGTCTCCAGAGCTGCTTGTGTTCCTACTGTACCGCATGTGCCCAGATCCCTGCAAAGACAGAAACCTGTTGTTCTGAAGAGTCATGGGAAAATCTGGAAACAGTAAAAGAGTAAAAATGCACAGGTATGGGGTGCTGGTGGTGCGGTGGTTGGTGCGTGCGCACCATGTATGGAGGCTGTAGTCCTCCGAGCAGACAGCCCAGGTTCAGGTCCTACCTGTGGCTCCTTTCCCGCATGTCATTCCCCACTCTCGCTCTCTCCCTGATTTCCAGCTATGTCCACTGTCCTGTCTCTGACGCACAAAAGGCCAAAAAATAAATCTTTAAAACCATTTTTTTTAAGTGCACAGGTATGATCAAACAACAAAGAAGGAACAGAAGTCAGATAACAGTTGTGAGATCACAATGCACAACAACGCATTTTATAAAACCAGGAAGTTCCATTGAGATTAAAAAATCTCTCTTACAAGAGAGACCTGGCAAGATAGCAGATAAAGAAGTGAGGACAGAGTTAAATGTTTGTAATTATACATGGTTATAAAATGAATGTTCTTGACATTTTCAATTTCAGCAAAATATATTGAAGTCATTGTGACTCTTATTCATAGCTCTCAAGTAAAGTCAAACTCTAATGGAACCGCCCACCTGGAGGGCAAGAAAGTCTCTCTACCACTGTACACTACTGAGAAGTGACGTCATCCATTGTCAAAGCCCCTTATAAAGCACTATAATGACTCTTTTTTTTCTGACTTTGATGTCATGTAAAAAAAAATTCTTCCATAAGTAGACAATGATTCTGATATGGTTGGACTTAGTACTTCATAGACTACATGCACAGGTACTATGAAGTACTTTTTACTCTGTGCTTTCTGAGAAATCCACTGTCAAGCTCCCTTACACAGCACAGCTCTCTGCAGTGTTTTGAATGTGACAGTACCAATTTGATACGCTCTGTCACAGCTACATGTTGCATTTTTAATATTTTGCAATAAACACACATACAAACATTTTTCAAATATTAATAATCTTTCACGAATAAAACATTACTATTGACATTTTTTTTACATTTATTATAAACATTAACATTAGAACATACATATGAAATTACAAAGATTATGAACACCAACAACTATATACATCTATCTTTTTTCTTCAAATTTGAACCAATACAAATATTAACAAGGATTTAAACAAACAAAAAATACAGCCATCAAATTAAAAATATGAGATACATTTTGTCCCAAGTGCTCTCATGTCTTTATTTGGTAAGACCACAGGACATTTGTATTTTATTTTCTGCCCTAACTGCAAAGAGCACAATCCCAATTGTTCACCCTTGCATGTTGGAGTTGTTGTTCATCCATGGCTAAGCACTGCTCATGGTACCATCTTTGGCATGTGTCACACTGTTTCTATAAAATAAAATGTGCAAACCTTTATGAACTTGTCAGGAATAGAGAATCGTATGGAATAGAGAAACATTTCTATAGGCAGGGCAATCTATACACATAATCATCTTCTATTTAGGTTTGTATGTGGGAATGTGTGTCCACTACATTACTCTTTGCAAAGGTTTGCAGCATGTTTGCAATAAAATCCAACTCCTTATAATGTAACTGTATTATCTACTCAACAACTGAGCTCTTCTCTCCCATGAGAAGACTTAAATCTAATATCATTATTGAGCAGGTGCATTTATTTTTTAATTTGTGGGGGGAATGATGAAGAAGAGGTTGGTTTTTGAAAGAGTACAATCTCTGGTAAAACTCTGGTAAAAAATACTTGTAATTTCAAGCATTCTTTTTTTCCATATGTGCCATAAACTTGTTTACTTTCTATATCTATTAATTATTTAAAAACATTTTGTTTAAGTATCAAGGGGTTGAGGCTGGACTGAATTTCATTGTGTAGTAATCTGCAATGACAATAAAGGATCCATCCATCTATAACGAACAAAGACCTTGGCCCTCCAAATCCTTCATGAATACTGAACGAGAGGTCTCGTCCTTAACTATTCAAAAATAAATTATTTTAGAATAGCAGAATTTAATGTGTTTGACTCTTTTGAGCATGTGTATTCTAAAAGGTATGATTTTTTTATGACATTTCTTATGTTTATGATACATTAAAGGCTTTATATGTGATTTTTTGATCCAGCAGATGTCGCCCTTGAGCAACAGCATGAAACCAAAACAACTCGCGCTGCATTGTTGTGTTAGCATGCTAATGCTAGCGCTCTTTTTTTTGCTCGTAGCTTCACACTGCATGTAAATTTACACAAAATGACCATGATCTAAAAACGCTTATGTGACATTCAAATAAGCAGTGAGTACAGTATGTTATTCTTCTTTTCTATAGTACCTCACTTACAAACAACTTTTATAAGCAAGGGGATGATCCGGCCGGCTGTCCCGTCCATGTAAACACGGTGTAGATACGGCTCAGACAACATCACAGACAGTGAGACTCAGGTGTTACACTCATTGTAGACAGTCATGACTCACAGAGTTATTTACAGAGGATATACTGGATTTCTGCTACATTTACAGTATGTGTAAATTCAGCCTTTGAGACCAAATTTTAATTTAGGAACATCTCTGTATAGAAGTGCTGCCGGTTTGTGCCAAAAGTACAGTTCAGCTCAATACATGACAGTAATGTGAAGGCTGAAACTGATTTGATGCGTTACATTAATGCTCACTGGACTATTTTCTGTTTACATTGCATTCTGTTTTAGACTGCAAATCATACACATATCTGCACAACTGCACAGCTCCTCAACATCAAAGTCAGAAAAAAGACTCATTATAGTGATTTATAAGGAACTTTGACAGTGGATTTCTCAAAAAGTACACAGTATAAGTAAAAGTACTTCATAGTACCTGTGCATGTAGTCTAAGAAGTACTAAGTCCAACCATATCAGAATCATTGTCTACGTATGGAAGAACATATTTTTTTTATATTTTTTTTCCCAGGAAAACACCTTATTTTGAAAGTTACCGCAGACACGCAGTATTATTCTCAAACTAATTTCACCGACCTCCGAAGCTTGTCCCTGAACATTACTGTGTTTGCTCCCGTTTCATACACGTGTATCTCATAGTCAGTTTTATGACTACGCTCTCTCTGTCTGTTCCTCCTGCTCGCTCTGCAGTCCGGAGCAGTTACCATAAAGATCAGAATACGTGAGCACTTCAAATTTAGGGGCGGCTCACTTCACCATGTAAACTCGAGGAGCGGCTGGCTTGACCGCAGTGGCTCAACGCCGGTGTGCGCAACCTACACTTAGTGTGGATGTGAGGAGACAGTCTGGGCCGTTACGCAGGACACAGAGGATTATTTTTTATTTGCACGAGCTGCTCTTTGTGGCTCACTCCATAAGAAGCTTTGTTATTATCAGTCAAACTTTAGTTTTACATCAGTCAAGACAGGAGAAACTGGTAAGAAGTGTGAACTGAAGACTGTCAGGATGCGCGCAGTGCAGCGCCCCCTGTCGTTAAGTCCTGTAGCTTTGATGAAATTCTGGCAACTTGTGAGCAAATAAAACTAAAGAAATATCGCTCCTTCGATCTCTCTTGAAAACCTGCATTCTGTGTCACCTCTCTCAGGTGTTCAGCCTGTTTGCTGATGTGATGTATTACCAGCGTAATGCAGGAGCAGCTCGTGATACTCTGCTGAGAAGATAGTTCAAAGTGCCCGGTTTAATTCATATTCGTATCATGATATCAACCTTTACGTTGCTCATTTTACATAGGTTTTAATACAATTCGGGGAAAATACTTATTACAAATATATAATTTATAAAAAATCTCTAAATATTTTTCAATACATTTCCTCCTTCTTCCCAAAACGTCTCGCGGGCCAGATGAAACCTGCTGTCAGGCCGGATACGGCTCGTGGGCCGTATGTCTGACATCCCTGCAGTATGGGACTATTGGACTATGTTAAATTAATTTATGTATTTAGAATATGCTACACATTTAAAAGCTGCAACATTAAAACCAAAATGTTCATTTTAATTCATCCAACCACTATCTATCCTTGGAAATGTACAATGATATTATTATTAAATATGTTTTAGATTGACCCCCCTTGCATAATAAGCACTTTAACCATTGGTGCTCTCAATTGTGTGTGTGTGTGTGTTTTTTGTTAAAACTATTTTTCTTTTACTAGTTTATCATATTCAATGCATGACCCCTAAAGAGTGGAAATACAATTTTCTTATTTTCCCTCTACTTAAAAAAAAACGTACATTATGTCGAAGAGTTCATGGCTTTTATTTTCAAAGAGTCGACTTGCACTATATTCCTTTAAAAGTATATTTAAACATTTTGCGTTTGATTCATTTTTTTCTAGCATATGAACTGCATATTTTGGATAATGAAAAGTAGCTTCATAAAATTAGAAGAAAAAAAATCGGTCTTACTCTTACAGTCCATGGTTACTGTACTGACTCCAGGACCTTTACTTTGAAGGTTTGACACGTTTTACTTCCTGGGTCACTGATGTACTTGTTTTCTATTGGAGCCACAGACAGTTGTACCTTACCAGAAATGCGCCATTGTGTGAAAAACACATTGTGATTGTTTATTTGAAGTTTCTCCACTCCTCGATACAGGATACCTTGTTTGGGTCGGAACATGTACCGTCCAGGTAAACCTCCACATGGTCCACCGCCGTACGGACCTCCACCTCCCCTCGGCCCTCCTTTCGGTATCGGTGGGCCCTGTAGACTTCCTCCTCCTGGACACTTGCCCCCTGGACCATTTTCGACACCACCACCGGACTTCCTCCACAACAGGTCACCTTTCATCACTGTAGGTACCCAATAGTCGAGTAAAAATAAGATAGCAAGCTAACAAGATAGCATTATGCTAAAAGCAAACTGCTATAAGGTTAGACCTGTTTTTAGACAAAGCTATCTAAACACAACATTATCTAATGTGCATTTTATGTTCAATTGATCTTCATAATGTTCAGAAATTAAGAATACAGATTATAATCCCCTGACCTTTTGCTGACGTCATCATAAGACCCAGGTTTATGTTTAGAGACCACAGACCTACACATCTACTACAGTCAGGTACACATACAAAGAATATTTCTTTGTGTTTTAGTGCAAATACGATTAAATCAAAGTAGAATAAATTAAAAACAAGCTATTCTACAGTAGTATTCTTACTGCTAAGAAACTTAAATAGAGTGAGATAAACAACAATATACTATATCTCCTAAAGGATTAATGGAGATGTACAACTGTACAGGAATGTGCATGATAATTGAGATATGCAGTGTGAACATAGAAACAGTGTTAGATTTAAACATACAATACTTGAGTCCAGTGTGCATTAATGCTGGTAACCCTGAATCTTCAGGCTCCTTCATGGAATAACATCAAAGTTGTGCAGCATGCAGTCTTAAAAAAAGAACAATAGGCTACTAAGATTTTTTTTGTGCTAAAATGATTTGCATTGATTGGTGCTACCTAACCCTAGCTCCTGACGGATTCCTAAAACATAGTAATGTGAAAAAAAACTCAATTAATCTGGCAAATAGGTATGCTGAAGTCAAATACAAACAATTAAATGTGATTTAAAAAAAAGTCCAGTAATGAATTGCATGTTTCAGATATGACACAGGGATACAGCACAGGAACAGGTGACCCTGTGTAGTGATAGTAAGTACTGATAGAGACCATTGTACCACTGTAGAGAAACAACATTATGATGTTTATATAGTAAGCTGCATGTGGCAGCATTCACATGTAGAAAATAGTTAAAAGGAAAATAAAATCTTACATCTATACATCAGTAATACAACCTGAGCATGAGAACTAGACAGGGGCATCATGTGAGCAACACCTTGTCATTAACATCAGTATTTTTGGAAACCTAATTTTAAGATCATATTTAAATGTGTCTTCAAGCAAATACAATTTTTATGTGTGTTATCTTGCATAGATATGCTTAGCTGTTATCAGTTATCAGTAGATAATAAGTAGTTAGGATTTTTAAGGTTGTCGTGCACTGCACAAGAACTGTTTAAACTAGGGCTGGGTGATATGGACCAAAAATAATATCTCGATATTTTTTAGCCGAATAGCGATAAACAATATAAATCTTAATATTTTTATTGTTTTTTTTAAAGAAATAACAGAAAGTCAGTACAGTGTTTCCCCTACCATTATATTAGGGGGGCGGCCCCTGTTTTTGTGCTTTTTGTGCCTTTATTGTAGAGATAGGATAGTGGATAGAGTCCGTAATCAGGGAAAGAAGTCATTTAAGGATACCTTTCCAATAGAAAAGGACAGCTGTCATTTAAAGTAACACATGAACACCAAGATTCCTTCAAGTGTTTGTGTCGTCGTGTCGCCATGTCGGCTTGTCCCCACCCCCCCAACGCTGTAAACCTAGAGGAAACACTGCAGTACTTGTCACAAATGTCACACAGGCACTTTTATGAACAGCCACACTTTATGCACAATGGTGACATGATCATGAAAAAGGACAATAGAATAAACTACTAGTTTGTGAAATAATACATTTTATTGAATAAATATTCTCCTTAGATAAAATAAGATCAATAAAAAATGTTCCTAAAATTCACACAGCTGTGTATTTTGTTATGCAGGCATATTTTGAGATCTGCTCAGATAGAGAGGTGTAGCCGGGTGAGGAGCGACACAGTGAGAAGAGAAATGTATCAAAATAATAAAAATATGATATTATTTGAATGCAGCATGAACTTTATAGATATTAAACATTATTGTTATTACCTGTATCTAACTCAATATATTGCCCAGCCCGTGTTTGAACCGTGTGAAAGTAGTGAAAAGCTCTCTTGACATTGGACAGATCTTTGTTTTGATAATTGAAAAACATCCATGAACCCAGAGAGTAGTCAAGGTATAAGTAACTCTTAACTAGGGCTCAATGATATTGGAGAAAAAAGTGACATTGCAATATTTTTTCCACTGTCCGTACACCTCTCTTGTAAATGCACTGATTGAGGTGCCTTGTTCCAATCAGAACTGAAGCTAATCATGGTTTTGTTGTTAATGTACAGCTGCTTGCTGCTGATGCTGTGCTGAACTCCTATAAATAATGGACTATCAAGTGGAACTTTTCAAAACGCCAGTCGTAGTCCTGGTGTTTGTTTCTGTAGGGATAGGGGTTAGGGTTAAACCTTGAGTGTAATCAAACTCATCAAGTAAGAGTGCTGCAGAGGAAAGTGACATTAGTTTTTTCATCTTTGCCTCTGATGTGGCTGTTTTACACGCAGGGAAACATTTATCCAAGTGAAGTGATGAGAAGTCAGCAAGCCTCTCTGAATGAGGGCTTTCCTGATCCTGCAAGGGAGCCCGCTTTACCGGTAGGATATATTGCACCCAGATAGCGAGCGGCCTTCAATAGCCATGTAGCTATATAGCTTGCTTGCCAATGCTATGAAAACAAAGCCAGCTAGACAACGATGTCATGTACATGAGATCAGACTAATTATGCAGTCCAGCCAGCAACTGGACAAAGAGGTCTACTGCAGGTGCTTTGCATGTTAATGACAGTACTGTGTGAGAATTAAAAGGGTGTGGTGGATGCCCTCAGCACACAGACTGTGCATGTACAGTGTGCTGCAAAAACTCAAATGTAAGCAAGTTTAATTGTCTAGTTTAAATCTTCTATAAATCACATTAATCAGACATGTTCAAGACATGCCCTACTCTAAACCTACAAGGCACGTAAAACTCTGACTACAAAGTTACAAAGTATTGTAACAATAACTGACTTTTGGTCCTGCAATCAATTGCGCATTTTTAATGCAACTTCAATGTTGCACTCCGGCAGCGATGCAGTTACTTTCTACAAACTTCACATTTTCCCTGACAACGAACAGCTGCTGAAATTTGGTAAGTGCAAGCTTTTTTTGTTCTTATTAAAGAGAAATAGTACAGGTTATTTGTGAGTGTTTTTTATGCCACATAATTCCAAATATAAGTAATTATTACTTTTTATGACTATTCTAAAATTAAGTTTCTCCTATTTTTTTAATGCGATTTATTCAAATACATTTTTGTGTAATCTGATATCCTTTTAATATATCACTTTTCTTTACATTGTTTCCAATTTTTGCAGATAAAAGTTAAATGACTCAAGCTTTGGCTAAATTGTTGGACCAAGAAGAAAAGTGTTTGCTGAGTTCCTCTACTCCTGAGGAAAAGGATGAAGAAAGCTCCCGCTGCTTGACATCATTTTTATGAGTGCAAAGGTTCATGGAAAGTATTGGCATTAAACCTGTCCTTGCCTTGTTTAATATGCATCTTCTTGCAGATAAGTGAGACTGGTCTTTCCCAGGAAATATTAAAGTCTCAAAAGCAGTGAAAGAGGAGCATGAGCACCTGAGCCTGTCATCACTTCAGTAGAGTCACATGGAGGGCTCAGAACTGACAATGAAGACTTAAATGTTTTGTGGAGCTCATTAATGTAGAGAAGAAAAATGATCTTGATGGCTTTTAAAGCTGATGCTAATTGATAAATCATGTTTCAGACCTGAACAGAATGTGTTTTATGTTTAGCGGAAGACTTTGTTGGGGATTTTTTGAGTATACATTCGTATCAGTTTTACTAAGGCCAAATGTTTTTTAACCATAGTGGCATAACCCCAAAGGGCCAGTCACACAAGAAAGTTAAGGATTAATGTTTATTCTCATGTCTTTAGTAAACATGTGATTTCTCAATACTTAAAGAAGCTGCAAGGATAGTTAATTACTAAAACTAGCAAGGTAACCACTATGTACAATTGTAAAATAGCTTTCTGTGCTTCATAGAAACAGAGTATTCTAAGGTCATTCCACTGTACACGATTTAGTTGAATTGAAGTTGGAAAAGCTAAGAAAGAGTTATTGAACTTACTTAATTTCATTTTATAAACTGTGATTGCTTTATTCATAAATGACCCTAAAACTATGCTACTGTTTTTTTAAGCAACACTGTCCAGACAACTTCTACAGAAAGTGCTCTGCGTCTAGAATTGTCATTATTATTTTATTTCTATAGCTGCCTTTTTATTAAATGATTTAGACATTCTATGGTAACACCCACATTAATCATATAACACTGCACTGTAACTTTCACATTGTCTTTAACTTTTTACATTTCAGCTTCTGTTTTTATTATCTTCTCTTGAACATTTTAATACTTTATTTTTATGACTTGCAATCCTTTGCATTTGTTTCTTTAAAAAGAAAATCATAATGTATACTTTCTTGATCCCGTGAGGGGAAATTCGTTTTTACACTCTGTCTAGCTCCACAAACAGGATCCTATGGACATGCACTAATGGAGAGGTCTCAGAGTGAGGGGGCTGCCTGCAGTGGGCGCTCCTGAGCTGGTGGGGGGGTTAGGTGCCTTGCTCAAGGGTACCTTGGCAGTGCTCAGGAAGTGGACTGGCACCTCTCCAGCTACCAGGCCAATTTCCGGACTTGGTCCGTGCCGGGACTTGAACCAGCGACCCTCCGACTGAGCTACTCCGCCGTATGAGTCATATTTATCACGTATTGGCTTGATTTTCTCAAGGACTAAAACAATGGGTTGTTTTAGTGATTTTTCTATCTTTTTTTTTTCTTTTAGTTTATACAATCCATGAAAATGGTAGACATTTGATTCAGGTCTACTGTAACTCAAAACCCCAAGTAGTTAATTGATAAGTTGTTCATTCATCAATACATTTTATAAGTTAAAAAGAACAATTTTGACCTTTGCTACTGGAAATAATTCTTACAGCTAGCATCTACTAACTAAAGGATGGATTTTTTTTATTAAGTAACAGTAGTTATAAAAGACTGTTTTCTTTCCCCTTGACCATTTCATATGCCTCATTCATGTCGCATGAATGGCATCATTTGTTTTATTTGTGTGTAATCTATGAAAATGGTCCCCATTTTGCTGTGTCTTGTTTTATCCCACAAAAGGAATTAAGACATGTTATTGTAAATATATCAAAGAGTTTAAAGAAAACCCTGTTTTCTGTCATCATTTTAAATTTGGTCCAATACCGGGCTGCGACACATTGCACCACTACTATACATTTTACCAATACTGACAACAATGAAAGTATTTCATACTTAAACTGTCTTGAGTCTGTGTACTGTTGGAAAAGTGTTGTATGTGTATCATTGTTTGTTATGGTGTAAAGTTGTGAGTATGTTAACAGTAGACGATAGTAGACGATCTGTTTGCTCTGGAACCCTCCCTCACGAGTAGCGTCTAAATGCCCTGCAGGTGATCGGAGAGAAAGACACCCAATGCTACGTTTCCTTTTAAGCAGCATTGATTGAGCTGCAGTGATTCATCAATCAATCAATCATTATTTGTATAGCGCCAGTTCATAACAAGTGGTATCTCGAGACGCTTTACAAAAGAGCATATGGGATAATATGCGAATCACATCCCTGATAATGACAGATCATCGCATGACACTGGTTGGCTAATGTTTTCTCATTTAGGCAGATACGGTTCTCCATTATTTGTTGAAAGATTCCAAAGATTATTTACACTTTAAAACTACTCAGATGGTGTTCAGAAGAAACAGTATTTAAAAGCTTTAATTGGGTATCTAGTCAAGAAGTTGTTGGAATTGTTCTGGGTATTTAGGAAAGCCATGTAGTTGTAGATGATTGACAGTAAATGTAAAATGACCCGCTGGCAATTGTAAAAGTTACTGTACACTGTCTGTGTTGTAACCACAGATTATTTATAAGTCGCTATTTTAAGCAGTTTGCAAATGTCAAAAACTGTGTTCACGTATTACTCCAAGACTTGCAAGCCCTTGATGGCGAACAATTCTCCAGTTTGAGCGTTATCTGAAATATGCAGCAGCTCTGTCTTGTAAAGTACTATAACATGAATTCTGAACACTCTCAGTCCCATTCTAGCAGCTACCCTGTAGATCGTAGTACAGTGATTCCTTCGGGGGGCAGGCAGCAGATCGCAGAACCAATGCAGGTCCCACAGTGGAATCTCCCTCCTGTGAAACATCAACCCTCTGACAACAGGTATATATTTGATAATTGTGTGTAATGTAACTGTGGCTCTTCTGACCTTGAACAGTCGCACCAATGTACTTTTTGTTGTTGGTATTTGAAGCACCTGTTTTTGATTTTCAGTGATCGGGCTGGTGAGGAATTTTTGAGATGCATTGCAGCAAACAAGCCTCTCCCCAACTATCTCAAAGGGAACATGGCATACAACCTGGCAGATGCATTCAAGTCAGCTGGCATCCTGAAACAAGCAGTCAAATCAGACCCTGAGTTCAAGAAGCATGTGACCAAGAGCAAAAGCCGTAGTCGAAGCCGCAGTCGTGGCAGAAGTTGTGGCCGGTCTAGAGCCAAAAGCCGTGCTCGAAGTAAAAGCAGAGCAGGTAGCCGAAGTAGAGGAAGGAGCAAAAGTCGAGTTCGTGGGAAGAGTATGGGGAGAAGCAAAAGTAGGGTTCGCAGTAGGAGTAGGAGCCAGAGCAGGAGCAAAAAGAGTCATACACGGAGCAAGAACCATGTCAGGAGGTCCAAGTCACGAAGTAGCAGTGGTGAAAAAAGTCGGGGAAAGGACAAAAAGAGAAAGAGGAGCCCCAGTCACAGCCGCTGCAGCAGCAGTATGAACAGTAATCTGGCAGGAAGTAGTCTCCTAGAAGGACTGAAGCTGGTTATGAACAGCAAAGAAATGGAAAATCGGTTGCCTGACTTCAAAGATGCCATCCACACAATTAAGGTAGAGTTCATCTTTTCTTTTACAATATTTCTTGTATTTTTATCATAAACTGTAATGACTGGGAAGAATTGATGAGCCAATTTTCTTATATTATTTTTAACTCCCATCACGCTTGTGTTTTTTTGTGTGGGGAAGAAAAAAGAAGTATCTGAGTGTAGATCCTGTACTTTATGAACGCAACAGACAGAATCTGTTCACCATGACTTTATCCAGACTTTTCCTGCCAGCCCCCTTGTAAAATGTCTGTTTGAAGTCGGGGTGAGCAGTGTTTGAATGCAGTGGGTAAAAGTATGTTTTCCATTGATGTTTTGGAGGGGTATTGGATTGTACAGAGAATATAGTAGTAAATGAGGAATAGAGAGTAGGGAATGACAATGGGCAATGCCAAATCAAACCTGGACTCCCTGCTTCAAGGAATATAGCCTTTGTATACAAGGCACGATTTAGCCTCTGAGCTTACTTGGTGCCCCATTGTATGGAAAATGTACCATGAGGAAGAGGGCAGGACGGTGACACTGCTTACGCTGAGCAGAGTTTGTTCTGATTTATATTATATACTGCTTGCCTCAGATGTATTACTCTGTTGTGTTTGTCTTGTGGAAACATTCTTATACATGTACATGTTGTGGTGACATTAATGCAGGAACTGTTACCATTATAGAAGACTCCTCCTGCTCCTCCACACCAGAGAATGTCTGACATTGATACTGTATGAGGTGCATGTGTTAATGGTATGTTCCTGAAAATTTAAGGGTCTGAATGTCCTGAAATGATCTTGAAATGCCAGGAGTTCATATGTGAAAAGGGCTATGGAGTGCTAGCATATTGCAATTTACAGAAAACTAAATGTAGTGTTTTTTTGTCAAGTACAAGTGTAAACCAATGATGCAGACACATGCATGTGCAGTTGTGCTATGGCTTGTTTTGAATGTCTTGTAACAACTGCTCAAACAGTGGACATTTCATATACAGCAGTTGTAAACATAAGGAATAACCGACACAAATTGTTTAAGAAAGTGGTAGAAACACCAAGTGCTGCTGATTATACAAGTCTTTGTTATCTTGCTTTGCAAACTTTTAGAACAATGTTGTTCAATTTATTCAGTAGAGATCAAAAGTGAAGAAGTTACTGTCTGATTAGTAAAGAAGTGTATAACATTTTTGTGATCTCTTGTGTTTAGGCTCCAGATGACAGCAAAGGGAGTATGCCAGATGACTACAGACAGCAAGAGCACAGCCAAGACAATTCAGCATCGATCGATAACGACAGCATGCTCCTTCCCCATGACAGAGTAGGCTGTGACTTCTCCTGGCTCCAGACGCAAAGTGAAGAGGTCCCTGCAGTCCAGAAATCTGTTGAGCTTGAAGATGAAGAGTCTTTCTTGTATGGAAATGGCGAACATGACAAACCACAGAGAAAAGATAGTCACAGTCAGAACAGGTCTATGTTCAGTAGCCTTCAAATGACTTCCCTAAATTTAGCCTCAGCCAATCTGGACAGCATAGAATGTGAGAAGGTCAAAAACATATTGAAAAGTCTGGGCTCAACAGACATCAGTAATTTCATGGGAAAGATGCAGGGGCAGAAGGATGAGAAGCAGCAGCTTCCTACACTTTCAGCTGCAGACCAAACAGCAGCAGCTTTAGCGTTGCCAGCACTGAGTAACCCGGATGTTCGGCAAGCTCTGGAGTCTCTACAGTCACTGATCAAAGGTGAGGATCATTAAACTTGTTTAACATGTTTTTAAAAATATTTCTCTAGAGATGCTTTCTAAATGAAGTCAATATGTTTGGGTTTATTGTTATGGACATTTGATGATACTTGAAGCTTGAAAAGCATCTGTAAAAGTTTTGGTTGCAACTCTGGGGAAACCAGGAAAAGGGACCAACATTCACCAAGTATCCAACCAAAGTAATACCACCCCTTTTCTTAATGCCTCCATTTAGGCCACTCCACAATTAACCCCTGACAAAGTGTTTATGAACAAATCGACGGAATAAAGAAGTTCAAGTTTGACGTGAACATGTCATGACCAAGCTACAGACCAATCACAGATCAGTGGGTGGGAACTCACTGCCAGAATTGAATCTTAACGTCCGCCATATTGCTTGGAAGTTATGCTAACAGGCTCTATGGAGAAAGCATATAATGGCGAAAAAATATAAATATAGCAGTGAGATGGTTGCTGCCGACAGGCCGGACTGTTTTGGCGGCCACCGGTCGCTGGCCAAGACCGGCCTGTCGGCAGCAACCATCTCGTGGCTATATTACTATATTGCCGCCGGCAGCCGCTGCCAGCTCAGCAGCCGCGACATAAGGCCTGTCTGACGGCGGCGGTGAGGACGAGGAGCCGGGGCCGGCTCGAGCTGGGGCGGACTGGTAGTGTCGGTGCTCTCACTGTTTGCCTATGGACACAGACATAGAGTCTGTTTTCTGCTAGGAATTTCCAAGATCAATTCTGGAAGAAATCTCTGAATCAGTTGAGGAAATGGTCTTATGTGTTGAAGTAAATATGTCTGTAAATGTTTTTATTTCTATATTTCTACTACTATATTGTATATTTTGGAGAAACTGTAACGATCGAATTTCCCTCTGGGATTAATAAAGTATTTCTGATTCTGAACTAGAGGACCTTAGTGGGAGTGGCCTGCAGTGCTGTGCATTCTGGGATTTGGTGTCTTTCATCAACATGAGCCAAAAAGACACTTTCTGCCTTTTCACGGCCAAGAAGGCATCAACTTCAAAATGTATTTCACATTTCTAATATGACCCAATGTCAATACAGATTCATGTTTCAACGGCTGAAGTATCCCTTTAACTTGAGGAATACTGATTACACCTGGCCTTATTTCGTATCATTGCTGCCTTTATAATTTTATTGCCTTTGGTCTAGAATATATAACTTTATGAGAACTATTGTTCTTCTGTTTTGCGCAGCAACAAAGGAGAAACGTGCAAAGAGTGATGGCAGTGGCACATCTCAAGCATCCTTTGATAAGCACAAGGTAAAATCATGTTTTATGTACGTTTTAACTTGTGATTGGTTAAGTTGAACATTTAAAAAAATGCCTAATCCTCTTACAATGAAAATGTTCTCTTCTGTTTCCCAGGTGGGAGATGTTGAGGATGTGAAGAGAGAGAAACAAGCCATAATGAATAAAACAGAGTCCTTGATGAAACAACTTGAGGAATTGTTGAAACAGGATGGTAGAGTATTTCCGCTACAACAGCCGTGTTTCGTGCCTACGTTATTGTCTTGCATGATTTGAAATACTCAATATTGTTTGCTGATTTTGTCCTGTCCTTTTGCAGGGTTGGGTTTTCTGACACCAGTAATTGGCTTTTACTGCCAAAAGTGTGAGGAGTTCATTGGAGATTTGAATAGTGCTGAAAACCATGCAGCCATCCACCGCAACACTACCTCTAGCAGTGTAAGTATTCAACCTGTTCACGTACAACATGTGTAGATAAGTCTGTGATGTTTGTCTACGTCTTGTCTTTTAAAAAGCCAATGAAAAAAATGTAAAGTGCGTTTTCAAACTTTTTTAAAAAATTAGCAAACACACAAAATGTTTTTGATTTTGTTGAGAAAAAAAAGTCTAGTAGTAACAAGGGGTAAAGAACTCTGCAACTAAAGAGAGACAACCATGTTCATTGAGTTTTTTGTTTCTTTTAAAATGCAAAGATATATAGGAAATAAGATTAATCAATCCTTGAGGTTTCCCTCATTTCCAATGCCATCAAGATTACAAGCACAGTAAAACAAGCAAAAACAACAAACACACAAAATTAATTACAAAAAACACTGAGATCCAATTAAAAACGGATAGAATTCCAAACAAAGTGGCTAGAAATCAAATTAAAACTCTGCAAGAGAGGGAAGAACTCCAATCTTTATAATTTGCTTGAGGGCATTCCATGAAATTGGGGCATTAAAAGAAAATGCAGTTTTACCAAGTTCATTAAAAGCTCGATGGACTTTAAGGAAGAGCCAATCTATCAGCAACTCAGGATGCAAACAGGTGTTTGTATCCAAACCAATGGCCACCCAAGGCAGAGTGAAAAACATGACGTGTCTTTGAATTCTCAAAAAATGAGTTGGAAAATGGATAACCCTTGTAACATCCTTGTGTAAGACTAAAATGTCTTATTAATGTACCTAAATGAATCCTACTTTGAGAAATATTCAACGAGTTGTCTAACAGTTTCAATTCAAAACAGATACCTGTCTGTCCTACAACAGCAAATCAGAACATCAGCTAGAAAACAGAAGTATCTTAATAGTTGCTTTTTTAATGTCTTCACTGATTTAAGGTAGGATTACAGCTCATAGACAGAACGAGCCTTTATGTTTGACTGGCAAAGTTTCACCATAAACAGGTTGTTTTAAAGTCAAAGTGAAGCAGGGGATGATTTTTTACGAGATTATTTTGCACACATGTAAAGGACAGGATCAGCAACAAAAAAAACATCAAGTACCAATCTGTCAGTAGGGGCTGCCAAATTCAACACAAGGTAAAGGTTCCTTACAGCTATATTTATATTTAACCTAACGATAAGTTGTTAACAATGCTAAGGAGGAGATGAAGGTTTAGCGATCACTTCAGCTTTGACCACCTCTGTTCACTGTACAATTTCTTCACGCTGCAAATTTGTATTTATGTGTTTTGAGCAGAAAGGCCAGAAAGAAAGGCATGCAGGAGACAGCAAGGAACGACACTCGCGCTATCCGAACAGCAGCAGTAACCAACACTCACACTCCTCAGACAAGAGAGATCACAGGGATCATGGTTACCGTAGAGATACAGGAGAGCACAGGAATCCCAGGGACCAACAGCGAGAGTGGAAGGATGAGAGAGGTCACCGGGGCCAACACAACGATGAGCACAAAAGCCACAAGGCTGCGCAGGAAAACATCTCCTTACAAGCGGAGATGAGAAAAGAGAGGATGCTCATAACGGTGTCCCGGGGGCAGACTCCTCCTCCCACCATCCGGGTCAAGGAGGAGGTCGACAAGGAGAAAGCTAACGGAGGCAAAGTCAAAGTGGAAGACAAAGACGGTAAAGGCAGAGAAAAAGAAAAAGGTGTAAAAGATGAAAGCAGCGACAGTGACACTGACAAAGTGAAAAAAAGAAAAAGAAAATCGCCTAAGAACGTATCTGATAGCAGTGATAGCAGTGACAGTGACAAGGGGAAAAAGACAAAGACACCTAAAAAGAAAAAGAAGAAGGACAAAAAGAAGAAGAAGGATAAGCGAAATAAGTCCTAATCCATGTGTTATGCTGGTCCGACTCCATATTCATGAAGCCTTTTGCTTCCGAGTGGGATCCTTGGAACCACTTTTGTTAGTTTCTTATTTCTGCCCTTTTAGTTTTGTTCTTGTTGGATTGATCAGAATACTGAGGAAGGTTTAAAGGAGCTATTCATTGCTGGGTTTAATGGAATAATATGACATGTCAGGATGTGCGTTTGTTGCAGTTATCAGTGGTCAAATAAAACTATTTATATCAGGTTTATTTTTGTGCATCAAGTGCAGATATGGTTATTCACTTAAGATTGGAAGCAGGTGAAGGTTAGAAATAGAAACATCTTCCTCTCCTGGTTGAGCTGCTTCCAATGTTTATGCCAAATACTGATCTCTACCTGACGCACAGAAATGGAACTGATAGACATGTTTTGATGTTGCTACGTCTACTAGCACATGAATTATCCAAATGATGGCATGTCTTTCTTTATAAATGGCTTACTTTAAATTTTCCCATGAATGAACTCTTCATGTGACATGTCAGAAATGCGCCCTTGCATCATGGTTTTATCTTTTAGTTACTTATCAAAAAAAAAAAATGTGCCTATTCATCCACCTTTCCCAACACCATTGATTCTGAGTGCATATTTTCCAAGGTTAGGACCAACAGCATTGTAGTGTTAAACATGTGATGTTTGTTTTTTCAAGTTCTGTTTTCTTCCACTTTGTTCAGATTTTTTTATCTGAAACCCAAGATGACTCCCATGTCTCTCACCTGTATAGTATTTTAGAAGAAAGGCAAGTACAGAAATATGTTTTCAATTGAATAAAAAAGTCAAAAATGTCTTGATTTTGTGTAATTTGTGTGATCAAATGAAGGTTTTGTCTACAGTGCATCGTTTTTAATCATTTACCAAAATTGCTTAATTCTACTGGGGGGGGCAGAATGTTTGGAACTTAGTGCCAGGGAAGATAAACTGAAGTAACGCTGATATATTTGTTAATATATAGACAGTGGATAGGGTCCAAACCTGTGGAGAGAGAGTTGGGCTTTGAGGACTACAGCCTCAAATTACAGTGAAATACAGATTACAAATTGGCTGAGGCAGGAAGAGATTGTTACCTGCAAGCATGAGAGAAAGGACTCTAGAATAATAAAGCAACACATGATTAAGAAATACATGGCACAGCTTACCTTTCATGTCACTGATTCAGTGTTATGTTCCCTTGTAGAAATGTGAGCTTCCATGGGGCAGATGGTGAGCACCTGTGGGTGCTTCAAGGTAGTGTTGTAGTACTCAAAATCGGTCACTTTTTCAAGGTCTCGTCTCAGAATCGAAAGCAGTTTTACTCTGTCTTGTCTCATCTCAGACTGGGTGGACTGGACTTTGAATCAAAACCGGGCAAGGCCACTACTGATAGGCTATTTTTCTATGTCATCACTGTGATTAGAATGAAAACGCCTCTTTTTAAAAGAACAGATGATTTGATTTTCATCCCCGGGTTACGGCCGCAACCTTCCTGGTGTTACCGTCTAAGTGAGTAACACGCCTCCTCCTGCGTTGTTCTTGACTCGGTCTCCATCCCTAAATGTCTTGGTCTTGTCAAGACTTCTTCAAGGTATAACAGAGAATTTCTGACTTTTCTCACAGGAAATTTGATGTTACCCGAATCGCAACTACGCACACGCTTATCATAACTTACCATAAAAATCGAACAATGCTGAACAAACACTGAATATTGTCTTGATATATTGGACATTATCGGAAAAGCAATTACGAAATGTTGTCAGATATTTTACTTAAATATGTTCTGTTCTAAAATGTTCAATCAATTAACATTTATTATTATTTAATAAATAACATTTCCTTATTATTATTATTTTTTGTGCTCTTGTACATTTAGTTGCTTATAAATACTTCTATTACTCAGGGCTTTTTAAGAATTTAATTTTACAGCCTGCCCACTTGTTAATAAAACATTTCCCAGCTGTGTGCTAGGGTGTTGGATTAACTATTTACAGATGTTTTATTCTATTCACAGCTAGTACACCTATGGCTCAGAAAGTAGTGTGTCATCCACTGATCATAGGGGGAGGTTTGACCCATTATCACCTGTGACCCATGTGACCCACCTGTCTAAGTGTCCTTGAACATGACACAGAGCTGAGTGGTAGCTCCCTGAATAACAAAGCTTATGATGTGTTTTGATAAAGATGCTATAATATACAGCTGTACTTTGTAACAGCTACAGTGATGATACAACTTTATACCTGTTTTCCAAATATAAGGCTGCAATAAAAACAGGCTTTAGCAGGACCCTAAAACTGAAGCAGCTAAATGGAATTCATTTAAACTGTAACAGGTCAAAACTGTGTTTACAGGTTAACTAATGCACATTTTGTATTTGTCTGTACATAAAGCTTGACTTATTAAAAGTGGTGATATTTGCTAGCATTTTGTTCAGGATGTTAAAGATTGTATTAAGGTATGAAATCGAATGTATGAGGTTGATGAATGTAACAGCATACTGTTATACTGTACTGTACCAGGCTTTTGTCCATACAGGAAGTGGATGAAGTGCTGTCATTCTGTCTGTATGGAACAAGTGTAACATGCAGTTTAGTGGTAATTAATGAAATGGGCTAAAGTAAGAAATGATCCAGTGAAGTTGTGACTAAGAACTGAGATTACTCTAACAGACATTGTTTGAATGGACTACAAAAATGGCCTAACAGAGAGGCCAACACTTTGTATTAATGACACTGAGCCACAGCCATGTAATGAAGTCCCAGTGTTTAATCATAAAACATGATTAATGAGATGTCCCACTTACAATTTCTCTTCATTCTCCCATTAGTACATACTTATAGAAAAAAAAGGATACCATATTTTTTTTACATGGTATCCTTTTTTTATATTTTATATTAAGTCCCATTATTCGGTCAAAAACAGATTGTCCCACTCACATGTACTCTTCCTTTCTCCCATTATTACATACTTACAGAGTGTGCTGATAATCAGGTGGCTCTTTTTTTTCATCATGGTATTTTTCCCTTACATGACCCAGATGTATTCAATGAAGTGAAAACAGGTCTTTGGTGATTAGACGTGTGGCTTTTTGTACATGTCTGTGTCCTGTATTGATTCACCTTTATTTCTGACTATTGCAGCTTTATACCTGGATGTACTGTTAAGCTGTGTCACTTTAAAGGAATCAAAAAGAGAAGTGTTTTTATAGGCAGAGAGGTGTTACGTATGTTTCTGTCACCAAAGGAACCGATGGGCTGTAATGGACTTGTTCATTGTAACAAAAACATAAAATCATTGCATGATTGTATTTGTTAAATGTTAGACAGGATCAATCTAACTTTTAAAATCTGTACACAAAACATCAACTTCAAAACAAAAGATGTGTTATACCAGGTATGCTGCTGTGAAAATGTGTTCTCTTTGATTTTGTTTTAGTAGTAATATTTCACATTATTTGCTTTTATTTTCTTATTGTTTTTCTTTTTTCTTTTTTTTACCACTGTTAGACATAAATCAGTGCATGTCTGGATTTGATAACATTTCATACGATTTTAGGTGGATGACTTGTGGCAACACAGCCGTCAGGTGGAGGAAATACAGGTGGGTGTCCTTTTTTGTTAACATTCAAGTGACCGTGTAGATAACAATGTATGAGATTTTATTTTTTGTAAAATAAATAAAAAAGATTGTATGACATGCATATCTACTGAGAGCTTTAGGTGTATGGATACCTGGTAAAGAAAGACTCAATACAATTTATGTCCAGAGTAAGGTCATCTCAAATTAGCACTAACAATGTCTAAGCTGTTTTCTATCTTGTTAATCATTTAAGTAAAGAGTAAAAGAGGGGCTTGAATATGCTTTTATTATCTTGGAATACTTGTTTCTATTGAACCTGCATGTGTAGTAATAATAATGTGAAGCCTTGTGGGTCAGGAGAAGAGTGCTGAAGTTCCCTTTGCTGCAGAACTGGAGAATAATTTGTGTCATAATAAAGCAAAGTGAAAACTATCTCATGTCTGGTCTTGTTATTGCAGTTATAAATGATATGTGTTTAGAGCCTGTGTCGTGTAAGCATTTATTTACTGCAAATATAACATTGTGTCTGGCTACAGTTTCAGTGAAAGTGAGACTGAAATGGTGATAACATCACTCTGTAAACATGACATCTACTGCATGTCAGCATGACCTGCAGTGGGATCACTCCAGAGATGACAGACTCCACCTGAGCTCACCTGCCAGATGCTGTTGAATTATAATGAAATTAAAGACATTTACATAAATAAAAAGAACATGCTCTTTAATAAGTTTATATTTTATTACATCCGTCCAACATTAAGTCATCATTTATACGAATATCGAATATCATTACATAAGATTAATAATGGTTGGCTTGACGTATTGATAAATACCCCATGGTATGACAACTGGCTCCTCCCTCCATCCATTATCTTAACCACTTTTGTCCCATTCAGGGTTGAGGGGGGGCTGAAGCCGATCCCAGCTGTCATTGGGCGAGAGGCGGGGTTACACCCTGGACTGTTCACCAGCCAATCGAGGGCTGACATATAGAGACAGACAACCAGCCACACTCACATTCCTACAAGCAACTTAGAGTCACCAGTCAACCTAACGAGCATGTCTTTAGACTGTGAGAGGAAGCCGGAGTACGCAGAGATAACCCATGTATGCACAAATATGCAAACACCATACTGAGAGGCTCTGTCCAACGGGGATTCAAAGCAGGAACTGCATTACCGTGCAGACAACTGGCTCCTGCAGGAGATATTTGTTTCAGCTAACCATTTTGCTTCTGTGCTCCAATTCACATCTGTCAACCAACAGGGTACATTTGCATATGACTACAAAATACCAGTGGCAATTCTAGAGTCTGTTGGGGCTCTGGGCAAAATTTCACAGGTAGCCCCCCAACAAGCTTTCATCAACATTATGTTATAAATACTTTGGTCATCATTTTTTTTGCCATTTTTGTTGTTGTTGTTGTTGTCAAAGTTCAAATTAGCATTATTTTATAAATATAAAAACCAGTAAAAACCTTGTAAATTCTAAATATAAAAATGCTAAATATCAAAGAACAAACGTCATGATGTCATACCAGCAATATGCAACGCTAAGCTGCACAAGCCAGAGAGTGCTGTCAGACCGCCTTAGGGAGGTTTCCTACTGTCATTACAAACTTTGCATGTATTAGCTTCTTCTGGTTTAAACTTTGTCATCCTCGGGGGGGAGGGCGGGGGAGGGGGCCCTACTCGCCTGGGGCCCCAAGCAGCTGCCTGTCTTGCCTGTTGACAAGCAGCGCCTCTGCAAAATATTGTTCCAGAGGAGTGAAGAAAGTCTGCCATACTTCAAATTAAATTTTCTGTAATATCCTTAGTACCCCGGCAGATGGAGACAAATCCTCATTCTTCTTTATATCTATACAGCACCCATGTGACTGTGCTGACATGGCAGAGAGGCAGTAACAACATGAATTACTTTCATTTCAACATCACCTCACAAAAAGATTAAATACTGATTGTACTGTCTAACAGTATAATCCTTTGTTTTTCTTGAAGAAACAGATTATTTTCCATCACAACGTGTAACAGGTTTGTCGTAAAATGTCCACTCATGTGACATGTGGTAACCCAGCCCTCAACCGTTTGATGATTCAGGCTTTGCAGCATTCCAGTCTGTCAGTGCGAGTCACAACCTGTCCCTGTCTAACTCTGACGGTTAAGAGGGTGAAGTCCATCCTGCTGCCTTTTGTTACTTTCACTTAGACACCAATCTCAGTTCACAACAGACTGTA